TAGATTTTCATTAACTCTTCCCACTCGCCAACAGTATTTTCGTCAGATCCATCTTCCCTGAAGGTGGGGGGTTCTTTGACATCTGGCTGTAGTACTAGCTTTGCCCCAGTCAAGTTGAGGTAAATAGGTTCACTCTGCGATTGGCCCACACTGCCCTGAAATTGCAGACCCTGAACACCTCCTTCCCCACATTCACCCTTAAGACGGTCCATTATGGACTGTCCAACTTGCTGTGCAATGCTTGTAATAACGTCACTTAATGGTGGGTCAGCAATAACTGAATTGTCCAGGACCGCACCATCATGCACATTTGTAGAAGATGCATTCTCAACTACACGTGTAGAACAAAGAACAAAAGGCTGTAGAGCCTGCAAAATACGCGTTTCGAACTGGAGTAAAAGGCAAAGCCTCAATCATTCTCCCTCTCCCTCTCCCCACAGAGAAGTTAACACCACTCAACGAACATTTGTCCTCATCTGCCTTATTTTTTAACATGTCATTTTCAGTTTTTTTTTGTTGTTGTTTTTTTTCAGTTCTTTACATAGAAACAAATATATAAAAAAAATTTGTTGCTGGAGCAAAACACTATTCCACGTTCAACTCTGTAAAACTATTCAGTCTGTATAGATGTGTTAATGTAACAAACAACCTCAGGTGACCAGCTGACGTTGATCCACTCTTCTCAAACCACGGTGGACTTGTCCAAAGCAGTGTGGATCCGGGTCACCGCACCACTGTAGCCGGTTCCATCTGACTCATCTGTTGTTTGTACTCTGCGTTGTGTGTGTAGGTGAAGAAAGAAACCAGCAGTCGAGGACCCACGGTGTGTTGTAGCAGGAAGGCGGGTTTATTCTGTTCAAAATAAAAATGCATTTAGCAGAGCAGTTCCCGGGTCCGGCCTCCCCACAACAGACCTCTCCCCAGCGCAGCTCGGCGCGAACTGAGGAGAAGCAGCGGGAACACACAGGATATGACGCCAAACAGGAAGCAAGAAAATAAAAGCGTCACCACCAAAATAAAATTCAGAAACTAAGAAAAACAAATATACATAAATGGTGAAGATGGATTTGAGGTGAAATATACACCTTTTTTACAGACTTGCTACATTAACAATGCTCGAGCTTTATTTGCTACTGTTGACACGCTCACAAACCCCACCTGAATTTTAATCTAATGCAGCCTGCAACACGTTTTCAAGTTTCTTCTCAGAGAAAATTCAAAAGATCAGAGGATTAATCTGCACATCCACTCTAAAGGCAGTATCAATGCTATGCCCACACAAAACAAATGCAGGAAAAATGACCCAATTTCAACTACTTAACTATAAAACCCTAGAAAAAATAAGTCAATTAAGCTCCAGTTCCTGCTGTCTGTATGTCCTACCCACACATTTCTTTAAGAAAGTCC